AACAGTCAGGGTTGATTTCTTTTAGGATTGACTGATTTGATCTTCTTGCAGTCCAAGGGACTCTCAAGAGTCTTCTCCAGCACCATAGTTCAAAAGAATCTATTCTTTGGTGCTCAGCCTTCCTTATAGTCCAACTCTCGCAGCCATACATGACTACTGGGAATACCATTGCTTTGAACATGCGGACTTTTGTTGGCAGGGTGATGTCTCTACTTTTTATCATGCTGTTTAGGTTTGCCATCGCTTTCCTCCCAAGGAGCAGGCATCTTTTAATTTCATGGCTGCTGTCACAGTCTGTGGTGATCTGGGATCCCAGGAATGTGAAGTCTGTCACTACTTGCCCGACTTCCCCTTCTATTTGCCAAGGAGTGATGGGGCCGGATGCCATGATCTTAGTTTTTTGATGTTGAGCTTCAAGCCCACTTTCTTATCTCACTACATATGCTATCCTCGTTCAGTCCTTACATCTATATTCTCACCAATCCCCCAGAAGGGCCATTCATCCTCTTTATTTTATTTCTTGTTTGAAATAGTAGATTAGAATAGTAGATTGTAATGTAATGTAATGTAATGAATAGTAGAATGTAATGTAATTTGGAAAGATAGACTGGAATGTATTTCTCTGGTCTGGGGACAGGGGAGATACTCTACACAGACAATCGTCCCACTTCAAAGAAGAAGATGCTGTAAAGTCACCTCCATGCTTGAGAGGAGACAGATGAAGAGTAATGGCAGGATCTCATTTAATTACCCTCAACATTCCACAATTAAGGATACATCATTTATTTCCTTCACCAAGTTTTTCACTGGAATTAAACCCAAACAAATGGTAACCATATAAACTAAGCTTGTTATTCCTGTTTGGTCCTTGAATCTGTTAAACATCTTCATTATGCTGTATGCTAATTTACTGCTCACCCTCTACCTGTATGTATGGACTGGTAACTTCCATTGTATCTGAAGAAGTGTGCATGTACACGAAAGCTTATACCTTGAATAAAACTTTGTTGGTCTTAATGGTGCCGCTGGACTCAAACTTTGTTCTGTTGCTTCAGACCAACACCAGCTACCCACCTGAATCTATATGAAATTTATGTGTGGGCTGGACACTATTGGAACTATGGTGCAAATAAGTGAAAGAGAGAATCCCAGCCAGGCTTTGGAGCTGCTCAGCAAATCCTAATAAGAAAGAGCCTGATCAATGTTATCCATGCTAAAGATAAGTGCAGATGTAGCCCACGAGGGAGGAGATGAGGGGGAAGAGCATCAATGTAAAGTGGCAGCAGTTAGTATCTTGTTGCAGAACTTTAATTCAAAAGCCAAAACAGGTCAATTGAGCTATGTCAGAGTCATCTTGGTTGCACAATGGATGGCACTAGTATACTGCTTGTCCTACTGACAGCATTATATTTTTCCTCTGGTCCCTGTTCCTGTCCCAGTTCTTTTGACCTTTTAAAGAATACCTGGAGCAGATAGGAAAACTTCTTGCCTAAGTATGGTGAAAGGAACTAAGCATTGTTTTCCATAGTGTGTGTGACGTGTTAAAGAAAAAAATACTGGAAATATTTAGAATGCCACTGTATTTACTTTTATATTTGCTAGCAACAGAATTGATGTGTAAGTAAACAGTTATTTTTTTGGTTTATGTCAGTAACATTAAATTATTCCTCCAGAGAGTAAAGACAGGAAAATGAATAGTGAGATGAGAATTTGCTTACTAAGCAAATAGGTTTGTAGCTGACTAGCTAGTCTCTAGCTTTTAAAACAGCTTAGCAACCCTGATGAATGCAAGTAAGTCAAAGCACATCAGTCATGTGCAGATTTAAGAGGATTGGGTCTGAACAAATATGGCATGCATTACGTGGCTGCTTTAAGAAAAAAGATGGGATAGCTTTCAATATGCACCTGTTTCCTGATTTCCCTAAGCAGGGGTCTTTTCATAGAAAAAGAGCTGCAGGAGCTCATTAGCATATGGTATGCTAATGAGCCACTAGGCTATTAGCATATGACATGCCCCCTGACATCACCAGAAGTGATGTCAAAAGGGGGGGGAGGCATCTTCAAAAGCCTCCCTTTCCCTTCCCCAGCTGGCCTGCAGGGGGGTGGGGAGCGAAGAGGTTTAAAGTTTAAACCCCTTCTCACTAGAGTTGGGCCACAGTAGGAGAAAAGAGGGAAGGAAAGAGAGAGAGTAGAAAGAAGGAAGAGGGAAAGAAAGAAGGAAGAAAAGAAGGAGGAAAGAGGGGATAAAAAGAGAGAAGGAAAGAGGGAAAGAAAGAGAAGGAAAGAAGGAGGGAAAGAAAGAGAGGGAAGGGAAGAAAGAGGGAAAGGAGGAAAAAAGAGAAGAGAAGAGAAGAAGGCGGGAAAGAAAGAAAGAGAGAAGGGAAGGATGGAAAGAGGAGAAGGAAAGGAGGGAAAGAAAAAGAAGGGAAGGGAAGGAGGAAAAGAGAGGAAGGAAGGAAGGAAGGAAGGAAG